GAACAATAGATCTTTGCAAAATGACGGCACAAGGTTGTTTGACGTAAATAAGACACATAGCAAGTTGATTCGTTTGGAGGGTTGACTTAGTTCACAGGTCTTTATAGGTTGTATAGTCACAGGGCAGCCTTTGCTTACAGGGAGGGCTAAACAGGCCGAATTATTGACTAACATCCAAGTTTTTGGAGTCAGCTAAATAATCAGCCACGAAAAAACACTTCTCTCTCTCAATTAGTCGCATAGACATCAAGGCATTGGAAAACAGGGTACTGTGGGCTACTGTTACAGTAGACAAGAACCATCTATGGACGGAGAAAGGACTAGCGTGACAGCAGGACTACACAAACAAAACAAACACAAACATCTGGGTCCAAGGCCCCAAAAAGCAAAAATCCCAAGTATGGATAAGTGATTTTTGATACTCTCCAGCAATCTCTCCCTCTGGGTTTTTGAAACAACAAGTTTATTTTTTGACGTTTGGCTCAAAAAGCACTTTATTCAAACCAGTGTGTGTCCAACAGAAGTGGAGCGGAAAGCTTTAGTGCTATTTTGCACTCTGGTTGGATGTTAAACTGCATTTCGTTGCCTCAGTACTTGTACACTGCAATGACAATAAAGTTGAATCTAATCTAATCTAAATCTAATCTAATCTATCGGGACAACATTTTGGCTTGGCAAGCGTTTGTGAACCAAATGCTTTGGGCAAAATGCATCTGGTGACCCACTGGCTACCGCATGCCGTGGCTAAAATGTTGATGTCATTTAGAATAAGTAGGAGCAAGCATAGATATAAGTTAAGTTCTCACATTGTAGAAACTGTAGCAACACTGATGAACCTTACAGTTCCAAAACACACACACACACACACACTCCCTCGCATTCTCACATGAGTGACATTACTGGTTTTACAAAGGACACCCACCCATGCCTGCAGATGCCTGACATGCCAAAACTTCATGCTTGAGGTCAAATCACCTACAGGTGCGTTCCCTACCCATAAAACCCAGCGCAGACGCAGGTAGACACATTTTCGGAAGCCCTAACAGGGAAGAAGTGCAGTGGAGGGGGCAAAAGTGGAGCAGATACGTATATTCAAATGCAGAGTCCACCCAAAGTCAGACAGTCAAAAACTACAACAACATAACAATAATCAGTAAGTGATCAGCTGCAATGATCCAGAATCAACAAAGCCCCAACATCAGAAAACAACATCAAAACAAAGTATTTGAAAGACTTTTGTGTCATACTGCATTGGATTGAGCGAGATAGACCTTACAGATCGTTTGCAGTAAGCCAGCTGTGACTCTTCATAGAAGGAATTAATGTTTCCAACTCAGTCTGTAACACACAAAACGTCCCTCCAACAGCAAAAATAATGACAGTCAAGACACACGAGTGATATTAGACCCCGGAGAAATCAGCGGTAAAGCGTCAACATGCATCCACCAAACAACAAGCAAAAGTCACATCAGAATTAATTAGAGATGTCAATATATTAAAACTAACTAATTAATTAATCGCACATTTTGAAATACATTGATCGCGATCAAAAGTTTGTCCGATCTAACTGAATGCAGCCAGCGGCCGTGTCGTTTCCGGTGTCAACACGGTTTTCCTCCTGCACACCAAAAGACCAGAAGTAGACAATGTTGTGATAAAAGTAGGGCTGATTTAGATTCCATTTTTAATAGATTAAAAAAACAAAACAACTAATTAATCACACATTTTGAAATTCATTAATCTTGATTAATGGCAATTAATGAATATTGTTGTTACAATGTATTATAATTAATGTTTTTCTTCCAAAGACTAAATCTTTGAAGTAATGAGTAATCACTTTAGAAAGTGTGTATTTTACACACTGTTGTTTAATTGTTAATGTTATTTTACACAAACACAAAACTACACACATTTGATCATCTTGGAGGCAGAATTCCACCTGGTGGAACATGTTGAACTAGCGACTCTTCCTGTTGTCCTCGTGCACTTTGCTCTCAACTCTCCGTCATTTAACGGTTGTGTTTGAAGTGCCAACAACGTCCCCACATTTAGCCAGGACACTTTCAAACCACCGTCTTTTAGGCACACAGTGGTGTTCCTCTGCAGACTATGTGCCGCGCAGGGTAACGTTAGATGTTAAGATGGAAGTAACATAGCAGCTAGCTTAGCCTAGCAGCTAGCTTAACATAGCAGTGCTTTAAGTGGTCTGTTTGCTACTTCCGGTCCCGGAAGTAGAACAGGAAGTAAACAAACGAAAGTTAACTATGTTAAAATATTTTGTTGGGTTAATCTAGGCCACATTAATCGCATAGATGAATGCATTAATGTTGACAGCCCTAGTTAAGAGATGTTAAGAGATGGCATCTCTATGTTTATTTTTTAAACAAACCAATTATATTTAATTATAGGCAAAAATGGATTCACTGATCAGATGCTAGTTTTTTTTGTGCGACAGAACTGCTAAATTATGAATCTGTATTTTCTCATTTGAAACGTAGCTTTTCTAAACTCTGATTAAAACTAGTCTCAGATAAAATCTTCTGTCAAAACAAATCTTTTGTTTGTTAATTGTTAATCCACATAACCAATAAAAGCAATGAAAATATGAACAGACACAGCTCTGTGTTTGATTTGAAATGATAAATAATGATGACACATTACAGGTTCTCTGTAGATTTGTCCTCTGGTTCCGGTTCCGGTCAATAAAGAGCACACAGGAAACACGACAGATGTTTGGAATGAACCATCAAAGTGACAGAAGTCTGGTTACATCTCAGATGGTGCAGGATTCACTTTTGTTTCAAGTAGTATTCAGAGAGACATCCGAGGCTGATTTCCAGGTGGTGATTTCCTATGTGGACTTAAACCAGCATAAAAACAGTAAAGATTAAAAACTGCAAAATAACCTTCGACGGAAGGTTGTTTTGGGATATCCTGATAGGACGATGGAACCAAACTTGTTCTGGAGGTCTCTTCTAGAAAAGCGTTGAAAAGATAAAGACCTGAAACCAAACAGGTTTTCCCTTTCGCCTCATTCTGGTGTTTCCGGTCTATGTGGGTCAGTAATCCCAAGCGGGATACAACCTTCTACGTTTCTAACACAAGACAACGTGCTAACTATTTAAGTCTATTCTGTATATATATCCAACTGTCTAATTGTTACGATACGCTATTCTTTATTAAATAACATTTCAATCAACTAATGCCACTATCTGTCTTTTTGTATGTGTCTTTAAAAGGTTATCATTAAATCAGTTCAATATTTCCTATTTTCCACAGGTATGTACGAACTTACAATTAGGCTCCAATTAGATCATTTAGTAGATTATGAAAACATGCGAGCATGTCAGCAAACAACTGCAGCAAATGTGGAACGCTACTCCAATGCCTTTGAGTCCAATTCAGTCCCCAGTTAACCTCCTCTGAACAGTGGCCAAAAGCAATGCCAACACCATGAGGAAAGAAATGTGTGTTCAGTGGCAGGTTGTGGTGTGGCAATGTTTTGTGTTCCATTACAATCAATGGCAAGTCAAGGTCATGTTTTCTCAAATGTCCTGATGTTGCTCAGCTCACCCCTCACACACAAAGTTATTATCAGGTTTCTCTTCCGCCTTTGAGAAACAAGAGCTTTAACATTGTGATGCTAATATATTGATAAACTCATTAACACAATGGAACAAGAGGAGATTTTACATTAAGAGTCGAGAGATGACAGGTATACGCTTGTGATTCGCAACAAGTTTATTCACATGGGTTCCGTTGCATTTTTCTATAATGTTGGAATTAACTTATTTGACATTTTTCTTACTGTCTTCCTACTGCAAGTATAGACTTTCGGTGTTGTGGTGGGCCCACTTACAGATGCGAGTGCATAGATACTTTGTTGCTGAGCTCATGCTCTGCTCATACAGAACACCGTCGAACGAGTTGAACCGGAAACTTTGACTTGCTAAGTCTTTGTTATGGATAACATGTCAGTAGCTTTGCATTGATGTGGTTCTCCCATGCTATTCCTACAGGAAGAGAATGTCACAAGCAACACAGTTTCTGTTAGAATCAGGTTTCTGGCACATTTGAGTAAATAGGCATAAAGTCTAAGTCAAGCTGCAACATCATCAGCCCACCAGCTTCATGTGAGTCAGAGGACAGTTTGCAAATCAGAGGTGAAATTGCACAACCTGCAACTAAATCGTAAAAAAACATAATTGTGTTGAGTATGCATTTACATGTACATTCATCATTTAGCTGACATATAGCTGGCACTTATTGTAAGTCACCAAAGTGACTTACAATAAGTGCATTCAATGCATTTGTAAGTTTGTCGCTGCAGTTAGTTTCTAGATGAAAGTTGAATTCAGATGTTCTATAACCCCCCCCCACCCCCCCATTTGTCTTTTTGCTCGATTAGGAAACAGCTCCCACCTGCACGGACCGATCAATACAAGACAAAACTGCTAATGATTGCACAACAAAGTGTCAAAACTGAGTGCGCATGATATCCTGTCAATATCTGTTTCTCAAAAACTGTGTTTTTGGAGGCAATGATGGGTTGACAGAAAGGATGAAAGAGTGCTGCTTACGTGTTAAATGGTTAATAAATAATTTTAATAACAATCAATTCAGTAATATATATGAACATGAAACATTGTACTCTTTCCTGCAAGTACTTTGGATACCTAAAGTACATTTTGTGGACTTTTAAAATGAGTTGGCTACTAAATAATAATATTTAACTAATTGTACAGATTGAATAAATATTTGAATGAAAGGGAATTGGAAACTTCATTGGTGTTTTTTTTTATATCCTAATGCCATAGTAGAATAATAGAATTAGGACATAATAGGATTGTCTACTGATACTTCCACATTTGCAAACTTAATTTAAGGTTTTCCAAAAGCCCTGTTGTGAGGGGAGAAGAAGGGCCGGCGCTAGGACCCGGGGGTCAAGCACCGCGGAGGAAGAGGGCGTCGGCTCGCGCTCAGCCGGATGGAGGAGGAAGAAGAAGCAAGGTGGCGCGGGCGCGCGCGCGCAAGAGAGAGAGAGCGAGCGAGATAGAGATGCGAGACGAGAGTCCGCGTGGGAGCAGTCGAGTCCAACCAGCACGAACCCCCCGCGCGCGGCCCAGCGTCGTCTCGTCTCCAGCGGCGTGAAGCAGCAACGCAGCCAGCATGTCGGTGCTCGCGCTCCAAGAGTACGAGTTCGAGAGGCAGTTCAACGAGGACGAAGCCATCCGATGGATGAAGGACAACTGGTAAGCCTGCCGCCCCCCTCCTCCTCCTCCTCCTCCTCCCCCCCCGCACTGCAGTCTCTGTGACCGGGCACCGGGCTCGCTCCCCGCGGGATTAAGAGCTATAGCCGCTCCTCCTTTTGTACCGGGCTGCGTCTGTCTATGTACGTGTGTGTGTGTGTGTGTGTGTGTGTGTGTCCGCTAATTAAACCCGGGACGTGCCCCGCGAAAGGAACAAACCCACGCGGCCCGAAGCCACGACACGCGTGAACCCGTCCCAACTAATTGGACCCCCCCCCCCCCGTGCTTTGGGCATCTTGATGTTCCGTGATTTATTGCTGTATGTTACTTGCTTTTTGATCAATATTAATGATCCGGGACGCACAGAATAATGAAACATGAAGTCCTCACACCGCTTCTTCACTGCAACCCCAGCGAGATAATCTATTTATAAAACCACAATATACCAATCATCAATTCTCTATCGATCCGCTGCATAGGCTGGCGATATAAAACGATTGGTTTGGTAAAGAAGGACACTGAATCCCGCATTACTGATCCGACAGTGGCTTATTTCGTGACCCCCGCAGACAGGCTCGTCCCCGTGGCTCTGGGATGGAGTAAATGTCGCTGTGTGGTGAGCGCGCATCAATGGGTTTTCACATGTAGGTCATGTGCCGGTCCACCCGGCCGTCACCCGCATGAACTCACTCGAGGTTCGTCATTGAGCCCAGAATCTGTTCTAAACCGGAGCGAGTCCGTGCGTTGAGCGTGCACAGGCTTCATTAAGGCCTCCGCCAGCACCGCGGGCCTCCACCTGTCTCCCTCTGTCCTCTGTCGAGCCACGTGCACGTCAAACATGTAAATATGATGGAGTAGAGACAGTTTAGGAGCGGTTTTGTTCTTATTCTTTTAAAATGAACTCTGTGTGTGAGTGAGAGCGCGCATGGGAGCAGTGAGTAGGAGCTGTCCATTCCCTGGTACTGACAACCGACCAATGGCGGTGATCTTCTGATGTCGGCTGACTGAGCTTCAGCCAATCACGGCGCAGCTGAGCTGTGACTCCGCCGCCGCCGCACGTGGCCGGTGGAGGCTGAAGCGGCAGCAAAGGGGGCTTGATGGGTTGTTTGTTTTTGTCAAACCGCCCAGCGAGCGAGCGGCTGAACGTGGCGCGTTTTTATGACCCTCGGGGGGGAGATGGAGGAAGGTTCACTCGCAATGCGCCACACCAGTTTTATTTATTTAGCTTTGGCCGAGGTACCTTTATCAGAAATCTACTAGGGTCTGGAAATAACATCAACTACGCCAAGTTAGAGTTCCAAATATATTTGTTTTTGGGCTGAGAAAGTTCAGTAGTGCAAAAGATTTTGATAATGTGTTAATTGATTTGGATAATGTTCTGGCTCAACTTTTCTCTTAAGTTATGTTTTGTAAAAGAAGAATGCACATTATCAGTAGCTTTGGGCTGCCATTAAAAGCCTTTTGTGATAATGTGATGGTACCATTTGATTTGTAAGTCCATCACATTGTGAACACTGTACATGTGCACTGATGTGGGTCGAAGTTTAGTGAGTCCAAAGTACTACAATCAGCTGTTATACCTTAACATAAAAAACATCACTGGAGGCAGAGCCGCCCTCCTCTACGGCGAGCTTTTCCGTACCTCTCGCTTTTTTCACGTCAGTTTGGGTGAATTGTGTGAATCATGCAGATCCAAGAATTTTTTTTAATAAGGGGGGGGCGTCTTATTATAATTTCATCAAGAGTAATAATACAGGGCTCTCACGTGTCACGCATAGAACCGTCACTCATTTCGGTCTTGTCACGCACTCCCGCCACACATCCAACTTCTCAAGCAAAACAATAAAAGCCGCGTTGGTTCCTCTTCTCTTCAACCTCCCCGTGTGCAGGATTTCCATCCAATACACATGTGTAGCCACAACTCAGTCTAAGAACATCCATGCACTAGGATTATGTTGAATTAGTCCAACTCATTTTGATGAAATACTTCTAAAACAATTATTTTATTAAACATTTCTTATTTGATCCCCTATTAAGACACATGAAACATAATGTTGTTCAAGCGTGTTTATTGCAAATGCTCAGAGAAGTCAGAACTGACCATCCAATACAACAAATTACAAAATAATTAACCATCTCATCAGGAAATTAATTAACAAAAGTCCAAAAATGATCAAGTGCATTGTGTATTTCTATTATTGACAATGTAAATGAATATCAACCTCAGATCCAAACCGCTTTCCTTACACCTCTGCATGCAGAATCCTTTAACGGAGAACAGGATAAATAGCAGACATGTAACTAAACAAATGACAGTGAAAAAGCATTAAGCATACAGACTATTACTTACTATCATACAGAGGTTTCCTGCACAGCCTTGGTGATGCTGAGCAAACTATAACAGATGAGATGCATTTGTTAGAGAAGTGAAATGCTGGAAAACCCCAAATGTCACAGAGAAGTCAATGTTTAAAAAAACTTTCAGATGAAACATTTAGAATGAACTCGCCTTAAGAAACATGCGCTGCTTTCGCTAACGCTAGCATGTTTGTTTTGCTCTGCTTTAGCGAACGTTAGCTAGCGTTAGCGAAAGCAGCGCATGTTGGTTTTGCTCTGCTTTAGCGAACGTTAGCTAGCGTTAGCGAAAGCAGCGCATGTTGGTTTTGCTCTGCTTTAGCGAACGTTAGCTAGCGTTAGCGAAAGCAGCGCATGTTGGTTTTGCTCTGAAGCCGTGTTAACTGACAGGGAAGGACGCTGACAGGGACTGACTCCCCTCGTGGTTTTGAAGATGACTGACTGACTTTCTGGTCGTGACGGTAAACGCGCTCAGCTAACTAGCTTGAATGCTGCCAAATCGGACTTTAGTAAAATGGAGCGGAATTTCCCTGGTTTAACTTTTTAAGAACGTTTCACAACTTATTATTATTATTATTAAAAAGCGTTATTGAACAACGTAACAAAAATACAGTTAACGTTAGTTAATAAAATAACGGATTTCCACCCGAGCCAGAAAAAATGATGACGCAGCCAATTTCAGTCAGTGAAAAATGCAGAACGACGCTAAAAGCGCAGAATGCGGCGCACGCGCAAAGGGTAGTCCTTGATTAATGAATTTATTTGAGTTGACACATACACGCTTTAACCTAAATGAATCTCATAAGTGAAACTATTAAACCATTTTAAGTTGCTGCTATTGATTTATATATATGTTCACCTTTTTAATAGACATATTCAAATAAAGCAAACACCATTTAAACTTGTCACATCTAAGAAGGGCTCGAATTTTTTTGAGTGCATGCAAATAAAGGAGCATGTTTTCACGCATGCATTCCATGCGTTCTGTGCATCATGGTTCTGTAGGGATGTACAGAGACGGATACACAGCAACGCGTAACCTTTTCTCCGTATCTCTCTAAATCGACACTGTTGACATACCACAATGTGTCATTGCTGTCAGCCAAATTCCCTCATAACATTTGGACTGGAGCCACGAGGATTAAAACATCTGGCATCAAAAGCTCAACGACGTGACTCCATGGCCGCATATTATTCAAAGCGGATCATTTAACGGATCGATTGCTCACTTGTTGTCGTGGTGATGAAAATAAACGAGCGAGCGATCAGGCATTCGAGGATCACGTCTGTGCAGGTTGCGTTCTGCAGATGCACTTTGTACTTCTCCCTCGTGTTAATGCATCGGTTGTGATTCTGTGTTGGGCTGCAATCTGCTGCGGTTATAAAAGCGGCCTCTAAGTGTTTCGACTGCTTTGCCGCGTAGCGCCAGAATCCAAAAGAGAGCCGTGAGAAGGAATAATGAGACCTTTTGTGATGGTCTGTCCTGCGGGTTCCGTCTGTAAATGTTCATTTCACGGCTCGTCTTGAAGTTCAGGTTTCAACCGTTGATGAGAAGTGTCGTGTTAAGTTATTTAGTCCAGCCTGTTGTTCCAGAGCTCTTGAGCCTGGCGGTGGGATTCGTCCTCACAGGAGACGTGCATCAGTAAGTGATTAATAATAATTTCACGCAGCACTACAAAGCTCGTTTTGTAAAAAAAAATTAAGTTGAATACATTTTTAATTTGATTTTTTTTTTTATATAAAAAGACAAAGATGATTTGTGTTAAGCCAACAGATATATTGAAATAATACAATTCTTCACGGTAGCATTCCAGAAAAACTGACCTGACTGAAAGCTCCAGTGCAGAATATTCATTTCATCATGTTTCTTTATGCTTTGCTAAATCAAAAGCAAACAACAACGTTGATCATATTCCTAAATGAAGACAATAAATTATTATTTCCCAGGTCATTGCTCACAGTTCCCCTGGATGCTCACGCACTTATATTTTCAAGGTCTTCCTACATGCTGCTGCTATTCCAACGCGCGCACACACCATGATGTTGTTGCTACATGGGAGGAGATATTCTGTACATCATCTGCATTGAGCTACTGTGCATTTACAGGTTTGCATGATTTCTCACAGATGTTTTGAGACCTGCTTTGTTTCCACTGGACATCGAGCACAGCGGTTAGTGAAGTATTTGGTGAATACATGTGCGCCATCATTGGAGCACGTGATTGGCTGTTGGCACCACCTGTGGGGCCGCGTCAGTCTGAGGTGACGCTTCCATCACTGAGAAGAGGCCTCGGTAGGCTTTGTAGACAAAAGACAATACGTAAAATAGAAAGGAAATTCTGTGGGCCAACAAGGTGCGCGTATCAGGCTTTTGGGTTTTTTATATTATTATATTTAGACGCACACTTTTGATGTGCATGTGTGACACTGCAGACGCGCTGGAACACTCGCTCTCATCCTCAGACTGCAAACTCAGGATGACATAACTGCTCAAAATCTCCGGGGACGGCTAATTCAGATCCTGCAGGTTATCCAGCAGCTTTACGCAACACCGTGGAGGAGAGGGGGGGGGCGACGCGCTCATTATGTTACGATCTGTACCATGTAAGCTACATGCAGGAGGTCACCGAAAGCCACAAGGATAAAGTAGTAGTGAAGGAGCGCAGTGCTTTAAGTACGTAGCGGTCACCCGTGGGAGACGGACAGGTCGGATAAGCCCCGCCCTCGTAGCGTTTCTGAAAATACGATTGTGCTTTCGTGTAGAGGTTGATATTTAACCGGCTCTCTCCACAATAAATCCATTGGATTGTGGATCGTTTGAGTTAATGATACTTAGAATTATAAAACCAAACTCGACCCTTTAATGGTTCCCGAAGCCTGAATGAAATCAGGAGGAGTAGGAAGCTTATTATTGAACTTCCCCTCACCAGCACTAAGCGTTTGGCGTGGTGACCTTCTGTGTCCTGCTCAGTCTGTAAAGACACGCAAGAGCTTTCACGCAAGTTTTTAAATGACATGATTGAATTTGTAGCCACATTGATGAAAATGCTGTCATTTTTACATCTCTTGTTGTTCTTCGCTTAATCAAACCTTCCTGCGCTTTGAACGCGTCCAACTGGGGCACCGACGTTTCTACAGTGAAGCCTCTGCTGCTCACATCGGGAATGCGAGCCGGCTCCAGGGGGCGCGGATGCAATATGTTCTGTTTTTCAACTGTAAGTTGATAAAAAGTGGTCATTGCAACCACATCGCGTGGGCGCGTTCCAAACCCAAACTGTCGGATGGTTTGTTTCGCCTCGTGTCGTTCTTGGTCCGTTGCTGCGTTTGCTTGCAGCCCGTATTTGCTCAGTGAACTGAGGGACGTGTTGTTTCTGAGCCCTCGGCTCTCTAAATATATGCCGTAAATCCCGGCGCCGGAGTTATTAGCAGAGCGCGTCTACGCGACACACGACGTGCAGCAAGAACACGCTTCGTTGTGCCTTTCAGATCCGGTGACTTCACGTCCAGTCATCACGTATGACCTCTGAGAGGAGCAGCGCTGCCGAGGCCCCGTGGAGCATGAAGGGGTGATGTGAATTCACACCGACCTCTCATAGATTCCTGTGACTGCAGGCGTAGCTCGGCCCCCCCCTCGGCCCCCCTCGGCCCCCACCGCCCTCCACCAACTCGTCGGCCATGACCAGGCCCTCTGGTGTCTGTACTTTATTTATCTTGATTCTGACAGCGTAATCCATCTTCCAAATACAACACAGTGCTCGCGCACGTCTTCACCTCTGGCTTAGTGTCCTTGGAGAAGATAAAGTACAAGAGTGCAAGACAGCCACCACCCCCTCCCCCCTCCCTCCCCCCCCCTACAGTTCTTAAAGAACGCCGGGTTTCAACAATCCTCGGGGTAATGTATGATATCATCTTTGTCCCGTGACATGCAGAGTGAAATGAGAAACGAAGACATTTCCCAGGTTGTAACAGAACGAGCGAAGCTGCAGCAGCAAAACCAATGACACGCGTGTGCGTTTTGATGCTCATTAGATGACATTTGATTCCGTTGGATGCAGAATGTCAAACCGGAGTGCCTTTGAATGATTGACAACAAATATTGATATTATGATATATATATTATATAACTATTGTTGTATGCCGTATCTATGCGGAACATGGCAGCAACACGTGCACACGTGCGGCGCTCCCTGCAGGATCCCGCCGGCTCACACGCAGCAATCCGGCCGGCCAGCGTTGACAGCACTGGAGGCTGAAATGCTCCTTTCTGGTCAAACCGGTTTCCCAACTATGTGTGTGTGTGTGTGTGTGTGTGTGTGTGTGTGTGTGTGTGTGTCTGTGTGTGCGCGCGCGGTTGATGTCACTCTGCAGCCCCGCCCGCTTGTCACTCTGTCAAAGCTGCTCCTTTCCACTTTGACTGCACTGCTTTGTCCTTTGTTCTGTGCAGGGACCTTAAATCAGTTTGGGCCTCCTGCTGGAACAGCAGAGGGACATTTTTATTTTTTTTTCATTCTTCGGAATTCTACAAGACAACAAAGTCCATCATGTTGGACAGCTGACGCTGTTATTGTCCCTGTCGCTCCCATCGCCTTCGGGTGCTGTTGTGTTTGCAGCTTCTCGTGTATCCTTTTAATGAGGAACAATGGAGCAAAAATACCACAATACTGGTGTCATTTCTTAAAATATCCAACCAGGCACATTTGAAATGGTAATTAAATATTGAATTGCATTCTGTCACAGTTGTGTGATGTTTGTGTTGGTGTGAGCTACTACACTGTATCACAAAGTCCATTGAGCTTAATGTTCTTCTCCGAGGGTTTAACTTGACTTTTGTATAAAACAATACTACACAGACACGATGCTCATACTAATATAAATACAATAACTAATTTCCCCTGAGCAGCACATTTCTATCTGGTGACTAATGTAGCAACCATGTGGTTTTCTTTGTATCACCTCCAGAGCAGCACAAAAACAACCGTTACTCAACACAACTTCTAGTGCTAGAGTTCCCAGAATGCCTTTCACCACAGGTGCCCGTGCTTTGTCCTCTTGAGAGCAGACGGAGTGTTATTTTGCGACATCAGAAAGGGCGTAGCTGCACGTTTTCTTTAGGGCGCCAGGCGGCACGGCCCTCCGCTTCCCCTCGCGGCTGCTTTATGACGAGGTGGTTCCTGCCAGACGGGCGTCACCGGACGCCGGGACCAGGAACCGACTAACGGCAATAACTGAAGTGAAAGCGACTCGTTTAATTCACTCGGCTCAGGAAGTCCGCCAGTCGGACAGTGTTGCTCTGTTTTCGCCACATTTCCTCCACTGTGTCTGATTGACGGCCAGTGATTGTATCAATATCAAGCAAAGCGTTGCAGAGAAAGCTCTTTACCTTGTGCGTAGAAGCTGTGAGTCAGTCAAGAGTCATGTTTTCTCTTCTTTTCTCTGTGTGTGTATGTCTGTGTGTGCGTGCGCAGGAAGAAGTCGTTTCTCTTCGCTGCTCTCTACGTCGCCTTCATCCTCGGGGGGCGTCATGTCATGAAGCAGAGGGAGAAGTTTGAGCTGAGGAAGCCGCTGGTGCTGTGGTCGCTCACGCTCGCTCTATTCAGGTGAGAAACCGCAAAGAAACGTCTGTTTTGGGGTCTTTTGGCTTCATGGTAATAAAGTGTAATCAC